AATGCCTCTTTAAGTGGGTGCTATTTTTTCAATGCTCCATTGGGATACATTTTTGATATTTGTTATGGTTTGGATATGAATGTTGCACAAAGGCTCATATGTTGAAGGCTTGCTCCCCAACGTATCAGTGTTCAAGGGTGAAGTTTTGGGGGAATGATTAGATCCTGAGGGCTCTGTTCTCATCAACTGATTAATCTATTGATGGGCTATTGGAAGGTGAAAGAAACTTAGAAGGTGGGACTTGGAGGGAGTGAGTCCTTGCTGTATATTATTCTTCTCTTTCAATCTCTCTCTCTTTCTTGCCTTGCCTTCATGAAGTGAGCTGCTTTTCTCTACCTCATGTTCCCTTACCACAGTCTTGAAAGCATTTGAAACCATCTGGTAAAATAAACCTTAACCTCCTTTAAAATTGTTTCTGTAGTGTTTTGTCACAGAGATGAAAAGTTGACTAACAAAACATTGAAACTTTGCTGCTTTTGTTCCTTTATTATTTGTTCAGAGTCACAGATGAGTAAACTTGCCTGTCATTGGAACTTGAGAGGTGAAATGGCCCCAAGGTACAGTTTGGGAGTGCAGTCAGAAGGTACTTAGTGACATGGAGTAATTCTGAGAAATGTGTAATCATTCTACAATGGCCATAAGCTTTAGTCAAATCAGCTGTAAGATGCAAACAAGGGTTCACTAATACTTCATTTAAGCCGGAACATTCTTCACATACTCAGCTTGCACATCTGGGAAACTGTGTGTCCTAAAGTCTGCAAATTATAAGACAATTTTTAAATTAAAAAAATGAGTATGACATACAACCTAGGAAATCTTCCATTTTATTTTCTACATTCAGTAAAATAAGTGTACATTTCACCAATGGGGAAAAGAATCTGTATTTTATTCTTACAGTGGAAAAAATTAAAGCATAATTCACTATGATAGACTCTTTAATATTTTTAAAATGCTAAAAGTCTGGACCAGGAAGATAATTTAACTTTTAGTCATATATGTCACACATCCAAAGTCCACTATATGATTTGTATTTGAGCATCAAAAGATGTCATAAATACACAGTTACCTCAATAAATCCACAAAAACTTTCTGTCATGTGGAAAAAAGCAAGTTTTATTTTTCATTCCTACAATATTTAAGGAGCTGTATTTCTTGGCTTTTTGTTAAGGCTAGGTGAAGGCTTTTTAACAATGTAGGTAGCTGAGTCTACAGTACTTTAATAATTTTTTTTATTCAATGTTTTACTGTGAATTCATTATTTTTGTCATTCTTGCTATTATTCATAACTGTGTTGAAATAACTTTCTCAATATAAATGTAACCACTTTGTATTTTCAGTATTCCATGGGAGTATTTTAGCAAGATTCTTGCATATTAAATATGAAGATGTTTGCATGTATTCAAAAATAATTATTATTTCCCTCTTCTATTTCAAATGCTGTTCTTAGAGTAGGAAAGTAAGACTGAACACAGTAGACAAAAATAAATGCTTATATTCTGATGTTGGGAGACATAAAATAAACATAATAAATAAATAGATTAAATAAATAAAATTTGTGTATTGAAAGATAACCCTCACAGAAGGAATCATATCAGGCATATGGAAGCTTATGGTTTATTGCAAAAATATTTTTTGTGACAGAAATCAAACCATATTAGTTGAAAAACTCATAGCATTCCTAATATAAAAGGAGAGCTACACTGTACTATTATTCACCTTTACTTCTATATTTAGCAACATTTATTGGTGCAACACTGTGCTGGACATTTTCATATCCCAATACAGTCTCATGAAGTAGTATTTGTCCCTTCACTTATAAGTATGACAGAACTCTGGTGTGGACAGCTTTAAAAACTTGCCTCAGCAGATAAAGCACACAGGTGGCAGAGCCAGAATTCAAGTCCACCTGTTCGATTCCCAGTCCTTCTCTCATGTCACTCTATGTTGTGGCATCTAACACTCTCAGTAGTTTATTACAATATTCTATTCTTTGCTTTTTCTAGGGCAATATAAAAATTTCAGAATTTGAATTCCTCCCAATAAAAATAACATGTTCAGTTATAAAACATCTTTCAGGTAATCTAGCAAAGTGATTTTTGAGGAAGTGTTTTGCAAATCTCTCCAGAAGAGAGATGCAAGTGACTAGGGAGTTCATGGTATAAACATCTAGGAACACTCATTCTTTTCTAAATTCTGGTCAGCAGAGTTGCATATCTCAACTTAAACTGTTGTAGTGGTAGTCAATGGTCAAATGTATTCTTCCACTAAAAATATATCTTCAAAACTACAAGAGTTTCTCAAGTTCTTATTTCCCAAAGTGCTGCTATTCACGTTTGGTGCATTCACTTGGTGTGGTTTACATAATTGTTCACAGTTTTTATTTCACTTATGCAGTATGTGCACCTGTCATTGGACCAGCTAAAACTGTTCTTGCCCTTTGGTATTGGGCCATTCTGCTGATATAGTGTGTTATAAATATTACAAGGACAAGAGCAGTTTGTATTACAGGATAATGCAGCATATTTTTACTGACAAGCTCATTTTCTATTTATTCTCTATAATCCGAGATGTGAGTTAAAATAGTGGTCTAAATGATGAAATAATTATACTTTATTTAGAATGTGTTAATATAAGATATGCTAGTAAAACTATGTTGCTTTTGCTTAAATTGATCCTTGTTAGGAAAAAAGGAGGGGTAGTATTTTTCAAAATTAAAAATTAAAATAACTTAGAGTTTTAAAATACACTCTCCTCATGAGAAATCCCTGCTGTATTCAAGCGAGCTGTAATAGAGAGGATCATCCTGTGATTATGAAAGAAAATAATGTGAGAAGGGAATTCTGGATGCTGTGCATTTTGCTTGAGTGACATTGATATATTTGGAAGGATCTGTCTTCTCCTTTCACCTAGATGCTTGTTTGTTTACTTTGGCCTGTTAGGGCTACTCAATTCCCAAAGGCTCAACTTATGTTCCATTTTAAACACTTCCTTATAAGTTTATCATTACAATTACAGCATTGGTAGGGAACCATATCACAACCTGCAGGTAAACACTTAAGTTCAAATATAATATGCTTTAATAAGGAAAATAGCTAATCAAACATGTTTTTCCCAAAGTACCATTTACAGAAGGTGTGATTAGCTAGTGTTCTATCTCTTTTTGTTACATTCATCACACTTGAAGTAAGCACTTATGGTAGCATATGCCAGGCAGAGCTCAAATTCAGAAAGTTTCCCAACTCACTGATCTTTGTGGTATATTATTATTTAAAACACAAACACACAACATATCTTATGTGGTAAACATGGCTCTAAGTACTTTCCAAATATTCACTCTTTAATCCTTGTAGTACTCTCAGGAGGAAGATAAAATCACACAAATAGTACTGGTGAAGATTGGCTACTTGAATCTATCAGCTTGGTTCCAGAATTTGAGTCCTCCTGCTTTTGTAGGCTTGGGCTATAACATTTCAGACAGTCACAGTTTACATTCAATGAAAAATTAGGTAAAGTTACTGCCCTCCAAAGTTTGCAATCTAAATCTGTTTCTTCTTATTTCCAAACACAATTTTAAAGATACTGATACAGCACTATGGTTCATTAACTTACTAGATATTTTCACTTGTTAACATGTATTATGCATTGTGTACTGGGACAGACATTCAAGATATACCAGCAAGGCAGACCTGTCTGTTAAGGAGTGGACATGAAGGAGAGATTCAATATCCATTCATAAATGATAATGGAAATATATATTTCAATTAAAGCATTCCAAAAGAGATAATGTTAGAGTATTTTAAGATGGTTTGGAGTTTGATAGATGGACAAGTAGAAGATGAAGCAATTCTAAGTGGAAGACACAGTAACATATAAAGGAGGAGGATGGGGATGAGGAACGGAAGTGATTAAGACTGTTATGTGACTTGAGAAGGAGGATATGGTCTAAGGTTAACAGCCTTGCCTTGCTTGGTAATGAAGTAGAATCAGTTCTATCAGTAATGAGAAATAATGAAGAAATCTAAGTACTGAAAAAAACATGGTAAGTGTTGTGCTTCAGGCTAATTAAATGGACAGGTTGAATGAGAAGTGCTATTAGAAGTGATTTATTTTTATGACTCCTCCTCATCTTCCTCCACCGTCTCCTCTTTGCTCCCTTTTCTTTGGCCTCTCATCCTTCTTGACTGCCCTCTGTCCAATCTCATCACTCCTTCCAGTAATGAAAGACATTTTCACTTTATCAAATTTTCAGAAAAATATCCAGTATCTGCCATGAAAAGCTTACAATAAATTTAAATTTCAGCCTTCTTTCTACTTGTCCACTCAGAAATTCTCTGTGTTTATGGAATTTCAGCATTATTGTGAGAAAGAGGAATATTTATATAGTAGGGCAGTGAGTTACTGTGGAAAGAACCTAGAACTGTGAACCTTCAGTAACTTTCCTTTTCTTATGCTTGAGGACCCATCCAGCCTCACTAGGATGCTTTCAAGTTTTGCTTCTCCTAAGAGAAGATCTAGTATCTTAAGAGAGCTCCCAGATTGCCTCTCCATTCTACTATTTCTTGATCATATCCTTCCAGCATGAAAACCATCCTCTTTGTGTCTGTTTCCCATATCATGCTTACCTAAAATATCTATTAAAAGACAATGCAGCTTGTCCTTTATAACAGTGCAATGTAGACGACAGTCATTGCTATTAATTTATGCTTTCAGTTAGATTTGACCTTGGTATTTCTATGTAGCACTTTTTCCCTAAGGAGCTCTGTATTTTAACGGCCAAAATTTTTATCTTTCTGTAACAGTGAGAACAATTCAGTTCACCTTCAATTCTTGCATACAAGGTTGTCTTTGTCCTTGGCAGCCTTTCAGAAAATTTGTCTTTCATTTCTAGAAATAAGTAAAGAATAACTTTCTGAATGGCTGATGATTTGCATTAATGGTGTTTTTCAAGGAAATATATTAATTTTTTATCCTGAATTTTTATGCTTTCTTTCATTTTTTAGATTGAAGAATCAATTGAGACACACTTTGGCAGTTATGGCAAACGGGCCATACTCTACAGTCCTCCTTCCTACAGAAAAGTGAGACTTCAGCTCCTCCGGGATGTTCTTGCTCAGCATGGCTACATGGTGGTCATTGAAGAAAGGCTGGGTGCTAGCCTTCGGTTGGGACTGCTGGGACAAGGTCAGAATAATAAGAGGTCACTGCCAAAGTCATTTGACATATAATGTAAACAATTTCTATCTTCCCTCTAAAACAATTTCATAAAAACTAATTTTTATCCATGTTTAACTTTCTCATTTCATAGAAAATGTTGTTTCTTTCTGGTTTTGCTTTTTTTTTTCTTAACTTTCATTTTTTTTAACTAGACCTCTTTACTTCAGAAATTATTTTGTTTATATTTTTGGAGTTACATACTTCATATTTAAATGCTACATTAAAAATGTTTATGTTCGTGAGTCTGAATGCATATTCTGCCCAGCATCAAACTGCTCTATATTTTAAGAAAATTGCTACTTCATTTGACTGTGAGTAGAATATGCTGAAAATTGTTTTGAGAAGCCAGCTTAAATGTAATTCATGGTGGCTCTAAACATGAAAGAAGTAAGGCTATTTATTATACACGTGATTACTCTTGAAGCACTTATATTTCTACCATTAGAAAAGAAAAATAAGAGAAAAGTTTTTAAACAAGTTATTTGAAAAGAAAATTGAGTAGATGATGAGGGTTAAAATGTCAAAAACAATACAGTTGACATTTCTTGAGTAATCAGCCATAGGAGATTCCAAACTATACCTGTATTCATGGCCTTATTTCTCACTGTAGCCCCCCTGACCACTCCATAATCAAGAAATATGATTGATTATCCCCATATTCCAGAAGAAGAAACTGAAGTTTTAAGTGATAAAGTAACCCATTACTTATCAGAGATGAAATATGAGGGAAGGACGAATGGGAAGATCCATGTTCCAGTTCTCGTTTTCTCTGTTCTTCCTCTTTATTCTCTTGTTTCCTTAGTCTCCCTTTTGGCCCATTTTCCTGTCCTAGGTGTCATTATGAGAGCTACAAGGATATAGAATACTCATTCAGCATAAGCATGTCAGATTTTCATCTTTATGATTACACAGTATAGTCATCCCTCAGTATCTGCAGGGGATTGGGTCCAGGATCCCTAGCACATACCAAAATCCATGGATGCTCAAATTTCTTATATAAAGTTTCCCAAATCCCCCATGTACTTGAAACAACTCTAGATTACTTATAAAACCAATCCAATGCAAACACTGTGTGAAGAGTTGTGACAAGAAAAAAAAGTCTATCTGGGTACCAGTGGTTTATGCCTACAATCCTAGCTACTTGGAAGGTTGAGCTTGGGAGGATCACAGTTCCAGGCCAGCCCAGGCAAATACTTCTGGAGCACTGTCTCCAAAATAATTAGAGCAAAATGAACTGGAGATGTGGCTCAAACAGTAGAGAGGCTGCTTTATAAACATGAAGCCCTGAGTTCAAACCCTTGTCCCAACAACAAAAAAGAAATAGAAGGAAAAAAAAGTCTGTATATGGTCAGTACAAATGCTCAGAAATATTTTCAATCTGTGGTTGATTGGATCTGTGAAGGTGGAATCTGTACATATGAGGCCTGACTGTGTATGTGTTTTCCAATTTATTAAAAGGGAGAGGAAAGCATTTTGAATTAATCACTAGTCTGCAGGGTAGTTTTCTTTGGAAACAATAATCAGATCCTGGTGCCAAATTATTTTTTGTAACAACCTTGCCATAATTACAGAAGTACTTTTTCAGTTAGGTGTCCATGACTCCTTGCTGGGGAAGTGTTTCTGAGAAGGTTGAGGGATGTTTAGTCTTGATCACCCTTCACATTGGCAGTAAGCTACTTAGGTACCAAAGTTCTGAGGGAACAGAACCCAAGAAGATCTGTTTTGATGAGAAGAAAGGCAGTCTTAATTTGCACACAGAATGGGCTGTGAGTCCAAGCCTTCATGAAGACCATTCACCAGGAAAAGTAAGAATATCTAAAGCACTGGGCTTCCAGATGTAAATGAGAAATATAACAAGGAATATGTAAATTATTTAATATTAATGAGAGCTGAAAATGAAGTTTGCAAGCCCCATAGGTTGTGTGTGTGTGTGTGTGTGTGTGTGTGTGTGTGTGTTTAGAGGAGGTTGACTGTATTAAGAGGGGCCAATCTAAGGTTCTAGAACATCCATGAATGATGTTGTGTAAAACCTATTCATCAGAATTGCTCTGGTGTAAGGAAAGATATGAATTGTTCTGTGTCTTTGTCATCCTACAAAACACTTTGTCCTATCACTGAACGAGGGAATGGCGGTATTACCACTGCATACTCCCACATGGGTGTGCTCCTGAAGTCAAGTAAATGGACTTTGTTGATGTGCTACTATGTCTAAAAGTTCCAAATTCTCCTACCTCCTTGGTGTGGCCCTTTAGTGACCATAGACACAATACAGACTGTCTGTGTATTTCAACATCAATTCAGTTTCAATTTTTGATTTACTCCAGCTGCAAAACAGATGCATTACATCTTCTCACTCCCTTGAAGACTTTGTGTCAGTTTTATAAAAAAAGAAAAAAAAAAAGCATAACTGTGCAGCTTCCAAATATCAAGGAAGTGCAAAGACAACCTGGAGCCAATAGAATCTGGTAGCCCAAGTTGCTGCTGGGCCCAATGGCATCCGATAACTATATGGTGTCACCAGCATCTGTCAGTGTGAACGCTGACTTGTTGCCTTTCCCCACATTTCCACAGCTTTAAAAACATCTCTCTCCTAACTCTTTCTTGGCATCTTTTACTCTGTTTCATAAGCTATTATTCCTGGATAGGCCTCAAGAAAGGGTAGTAATTTCACAATTTCATGAGTATGGAAAATCGATTTTTGGTTTCTTATTTGATTTTGTATTTCTTGCTGTAGGGCAGTGTGCATGAAATACCTGAAATAAAGGAATTCTGTGATTCTAATCTGACATTTCCTTGAATATTTATCATGAAGAATTTTTTTTCCTATGGCCATTGATTTAATCTACAAATTATGTTTGAATTGAGGCAGATACTACAAAAATATTTCCTAGAAATGTGATTCCTGTAGGATTTGTTTTGCTCTAGGGTCACTTATTCACCTCCAGGCTATGAAGTTGCATTGGCACTTGTGAACCTCATACCTCCCTCCCCAAGATGAACAGTCTGTGAAAGCAGAGACAATTCAGGGTGATCTGGGACCCTGTCCTGCACATCTTTTATTTCGCCATTGTAGTTTCTGCTGTTTGCTAACCTTTATTTTGAAAATGTCACATTAAAAACAAAGTAGATACTCCCACCAAAGCTGCTGAAAGTCCAGGTGTAGGGTTGACTCATTGGTGAAATACGTTCGTGGTCTCAGGAAAATAAAGAATGTATTTTCATTTCTGTACCTACCCATTCCACCTGCTTTTCTCTCCTCTCCTGACTTGACCCAATCACTTCTGCTGACCCCTTCTGTGCCATCCCTTAGAGCACAGGTGGCCTTTGTTTTTCAACTTGGAGCCATTTTTTTAAACCTTTTTAGGACAGAAGAGAATAAAAATTAGAAATAGTAAAAGGATCATAGGCCAGACAGGCAACATTCTACTATTAAATATAATCTGTACTTGCAGAGTGACTTTTGGGTTTTGTGTTATATTAGTTTTTCTACCATTTTTTAGTAAAAACCTTTTCAAAGGAAAAGTAGACAATCTCAGGTCCTAAATTAGAATATGGGCATTATGGGTTTTTTTCCCCCTTGGTTAGTAAGGACATAACAGGAGTTGATGACTCTATTGGGACAGAGTATAGGGCTGTGAATGTATGATCTTAAGCAATTTAAGTTCTCTGAGCCTTAGTTCTCCATTAAAAGCAGTAGTGATATTTACTTCAGAGTAGTATGTGATGTAGGTTTAATCATACTTTTCAATTCCATCAGAGTTGTGGTAAGAGACAAAGACAAGCCAACATTTTATCTCATCCAGTAGTCTGGGAATGGGGCCCAGAATTTTATGTTAAAAACAGATACAGGTGACTCTTGTATATAGTCCAGTTTGGGAAACACTGTTCTAAGGGATATATTATTGGTTCAAGAAGTAGTAATTTTTAGAATTAATTTTTGAAATAAAGCTATGTAAAAGCTTGTTTATTATTATGCTATTACACTGCTTATAGTTTAACTGGATAGGTATTTACAGTCAGCATTTCATCTTTAAACTGGTTCTGAGAATAATGTAAGGGCAATTGTCCTTTCGGAGTTAGGCCTACAAAATGTCACAGAATGAAAATGTATCTTTATGGTTTTCCAATCCCTTGCTTTGGGAATATATATCTTAAGTCCTTACATTTGTGAGGACATATAATTCTCTAAAGGAAAAGGTAGGAAGCATCATCAGTTATTCTCTTTCTTACCATGTAGGTTCTAATTAGTAAATCAGTGCTTCAGTACAGAGTGGCTTAAAAAAATAATAGTTTTCCAAAAGTATTAAACTTGATCCTCATAGTGAAATTCAGGTAACATATGGTCCAAGAGATGCTGACTTAAGGTAGATTTTATCATTGTATCAGAATTATTTGTGTATACTTGAATAATTGAGCATAGTGGGCAAGTTTTTCAACTCCAAATACTTGATGCACATTGAAATTATGTGTGTTATAATCCAAATGAGAAAAAAAATGCAAATCTGTGATCAAAGCTACAGAATTGCAGTCACCATTATGGTTTTTAATTACTCTTGTTTTTGTTACTTGGAGGTTTTACATAGAAAGTGTTTTGAAGAAATACAAAAAGTAAAAGACCTTACTGATTTTTTTAAACCAGGTTTGACAAACTGAAGCCCACTGGCCAAATCTGGCCCACTGCCTCTTTTTGTAAATGAAGTTTTATTGTCACCTAGCCTTACTTACTTGTTTTCATATTGCCTTTGACTGTTTTTTGTTTTACAACAGAGTTAATTAGTTGTAGCAGAGACAATATGGTCCTGAGGGCCTAAAATTTGTATTAGGATCCTTTATAGAAAAGGTTTTCTGACGCTAGTATGCAGACTAATTACATGCAACTTATAATCTTATGTAACTAAATTCTATACTAAGCTGATGTAGGTTTGCGATCTTTAGTTCTTTAACTTGTACTAAACCTCATTCAAAAG